CTCATCTCACATTAATGTTTCTCTGGATGTTATCATGCAATTTTTTCCACCATAGATAGAGAGATAGATAGATAGATAGATAGATAGATAGATAGATAGATATAGGTAGATAGATAGATAGATAGATAGATAGATATAGGTAGATAGATAGATAGATATAGGTAGATAGATAGATAGATAGATAGATAGATAGATAGATAGATAGATAGATATATGACTTTAGGTTTTCTGTGCCAAGATCATTATATAATAATTGACAATGTCCTTTGCAAAAGAACAACCTGTTCATATGTTAGGGTTGAGGTGAGCCTTGTGGTCTAAAATATAACCTGACAATGAAGCAAAACATTTTAAGATAGAACTAGCCTAGACATGTCAGCAGGAATGTTAGGGGTATTTCACAATTTGGGAGGAGGTGTTTCTGGTTTCTGATGCCCTTCTTCCACTAAAAAAAATTTACATATATAATTTTTATTATATATATATATATAGAGAGAGAGAGAGAGACATACCATATATATACATATATATGCCCTTTTGATTATAACTTTATTTCCTCTTCTTCCATTTCTATTGTAAACCTCTGTTAAGCATGTGCATTGGAAACTTATGAAGTCTTCATGAAAGCAAGACCATTGGCCCCAGATACACTCTCCTCCAATGCTTGATTGTGTTTCTGACTTCTGGGGTTGTCATTTCTACTAACTTCTCACTACTTCCTTTCATTAGCAGTATCCATGGGTATCCTCACCACCTTCTCACACCTCAGTGTTTGTTTTCTTATTCTTTTAACAATTTTGAGAAAATTTTCTCCCTGCTTATTTATTTATTTATTCATAGCTGAGCCATCCTGCCACCTGTTGGCAGCTCAGTGGCAGCTCAGCTCGGGGCGGGACTCGAACCGGGACTCTTGAGCGAGCTCTTAACCAACTGAGCCACTCAGCCGGCCTTCCCTTGCTTATTATTTTGGCACCCCATGTATCTGACCATTCTTGTTGTATGTTTTGTCTCATCACTGCCTGATTCCTTCCACCTTCTGCAAATCCAGAATATCTGCAGACAGTACCCTATTTTATATGTACCCCTCTCTTCTTTTCTCTCTCTGCTTCTCTCTCTGAAAACTAAGCTCATCTGTCTGCTCTTTCAACATCATTTTCTCTCACCTCCCTCTGGTACTCCTCTTGTGTTTTCACTTACACCTTTTTTATACCAGCATTTTTTGCTATTATTTCTCCCATATCTTTCTACTAAACAGTTCTTTTGAATACCTCCCATCCATATCTATTTAGGACAGTTAGTCTACAGCATCATCCTTAATAATTCAGAGTTGATGCCCCTGACACTAATTATTTCACAAATAACGCGTAGTTGTAGAAATCTACGCAAAATAAGTAGCACTTTTTAAATACACCATAAGGATGTTTCGTAACATACGTTTCACAACATATGTTATGAAAGGCATCAGTTCCTACTTCTGAAAAAAGCTAAGGCCACACCTCTTGCCTATTTCCTCATACTTGCAGAGGAAAGACCAGCTTAGATTCCTAGTCTCAGGGATCTTTAGTTCACAAATTACTTCCTTTTCACTCTTCTCTACCTTACACTTGGATTCCAGCTTCCATGTGTTATTTGAGCCAGTCCAAGACACTTAGTCACCCAAAGTCATTTTTTATTTCAATATTCCATAATTCTTAAGTAATATCTTGAATCATTAACTCAGCCTTTTCACATATTGAGTGCAACACACAGCTGGCATAACAAAACCTTACACAATGAAAAATGGTTCCTTCACTTCATTGTTTAAATTAAACTTTTTATTGCAATATAAAACACATACAGAAAAGTATACAAATCATATGTGTGCCGCTCAATGAATTACTAAAATTGACCACACATGTATAATCACCACCCAGGTAAAGAAATAGACCAACCCTTGGGAAAATCCTTCATGGTGCACCTCCCAATCATTATTCCCTTTCATTCTCTCAAAACATAATTACTAACCTGACTTCTAGATTAGTTTAGCCTGTTTTTTGAATTTTATATAAATGGAATTACAATGTATATACTTTTGTGTCTGGCTCCTTTCCCTCAATATTATGATTCTGAGATTTATTCATGTTGTGTGAATAGCAATAGTTTATTCATATTCATTGTTGGATAGGTTTTCACTTAATTATTTTTAGATTAGTAATTGTAGTCTTATTTATGGAGCTAAGTGACTCAAGCTGACATTCGGTTAAAATCATTGCTCACTTATTGGTATTAAAAGAACATTAGCAGATTGTCTTCAATCATACATTAAACTAGAGGAATTAATTTTACTTGCTACCTCCCTTTATATTCTCTGTTCAATGCACTTGGGTTTAATATCATAAACTCTTTTTTTAACAAAAAAAGGAATGAATAGGCAAGTAAAAATAGACATTCAAAGCCAAAAATGTAATACTAAAAACTGCCATTTTTAATTTTTACAATATTAATTACACATCAGAAATTACCTACCAACTTACAGATACACTATATTCCAAACATTAATTTATGAAATCATTGGTTTAGAAATCATAATGTACTTTCTATAGGATCATATTTTAAATAACACTCAACACCAAATTTAGATATTTTTATGTCTATTTAACCCACAAGGTAGCTGAAATACTACCTGTATGCAATGAAACAATAAGTTAAATATGTTAAAAAAGTGTTTTAGATGCTATTTCAAAACTAAAAATGAGACAAGTGAAGTCAATAAAGTGAAATAAAAAATTGTGAATTCTACTTCTGTAAAAAATGCATTTGGAATCTTGATAGAAATTACATTGACTCTATAGATGGCTTTGGATAATATGGACATTTTAACAATATTAATTCTTTCAATCATGAATATGGGATATCTTTCCATTTACTTGTGCCTTCTTCAATTTTTTTCATCAAAGTCTTGTAGTTTTCAGTGTAGAGATCTTTTTTTTTTAAAGATTTTATTGGGGAATTGGGGGAGGGGAACAGCGTTGGGGAATGGGGGAAGGGGAACAGACAAGTTGCTGTCGTTTGGTTCTTCAGTCTAGTTGTGGAGGACGTCGCTTCACTGGCCCATGTTGGTATTATCATTGCGCTCTTCCTGGTGAGGCAGATCGGTCGCCAGCCACTGGACGGCTGCTCACAGCGGCTCTTGGCAACTCATACCGGCTGCCGCTCACGTTGGCTGCTGGCCATTCACAGTAGCTTATGGCAACCCATTGCAGACTCACTGCAGCCTATGCCATCACCGGCAACTCACAGCAGCCCAGCTCCAGGTTGAGCTGTTGTTCACCATCTTAGCTGTAGAGGGCGCAGTGTCACTGGCCCTCATATGGGATCTAAACTGGGGCCCTGCTGCTCAGAGCTGGCGTCCCAAGCCATCTCTTAACCAACGCTCCACTCGGCTGGCCCCAGTGTAGAGATCTTTTACCTCCTTGGTTAAATGCAGTCCTATTTTATTGTTTTTGATGCTATTGTAAATGGAATAATTTTTTAAACTTTTTTTCCAGATAATTCATTGTTAGTATACAGAAATGTTACTGATATTTGTATGTTAATTTTGTATCCTGCTTCTTTATTGAATTTGTTGATTAGATATAACAGGGTTTTGGTGGAGTCTTTAGGATTTCCTATATGTAAAATTATGTCATCTAAAAATAGAGAAAATTTTATTTCTTCCTTTCTAATTATGGTGCATTTTACATTTTCTTGCTTGATTACTCTGGCTAGGAACTCCAGTACTATATTGAATAAGACTGGTGAGGGCCAGCCGAGTGGCTCAGTTGGTTAAGAGCAAGAGCTCTGAGCAACAGCGTCACCAGTTCTATTCCCACATGGGCCAGTGAGCTGCACCAGAGCTGAGCTGCCAACAGGGGGGCAGGATAGCTCAGCTGGTGAGAGCATGCGGTCCTAACAAGGTTGCTTGTTCACTCCCGCATGGAATGGTGGGCTATGCCCACCTGCAACTAAGATTGAACATGGCACTGTGAGCTGAACTGAGAGGCACCTTGAGCTGAGCGGCCATGAGCTCCCGACGGGTGGCTGGATGGCGATTGGACTTGGAGCTGAGCTAGCTGTGCCTTCCACAACTAAGATTGAAGGATAACAACTTGGCTGTTCCCCTTCCCCAATTCTCCAACACTATTTCCCCTCCCCAATTCCCCAATAAAGTCTTAAAAAAAAAAAAGAGTGGTAAGTAGGCACCCTTGTCTTCTTCCTGATCTTAGAGGGAAAGTTTTCAACCTTTTACCATTGAATATGATGTTAGCTGTGGGCTTCACATACATTGCTTTATTATGTTGAGGTACGTTCCTTCTATACCCAGTTTGTCAAAAATTGTTATCATAAAAGGATGTTGAATTTTGTCAAATGCTATTTCTGCATCTACTAAAATGATCATCTGATTGTTATCCTTCCTTGTGTTAACGTGGCATATCACATTTATTGATTTGCATATGTTGAGCCATTCTTGCATCCCACTTGATCATGATGTATGATCCCATTAATGTACTGTTGAATTTGGTTTGTCAATATTTTATTGAGGATTTTTGCATCTTTGTTCATCAGGAATATTGGCCTGTAGTTTTCTTTTCTTGTAGTGTCCTTGTCTGGCTTTGGTGTCAGGTAATGTTGTTAGCCTTGTAAAATGAGTTTAGAAGTGTTTTTCCCTCTTCTATTTTTTTTGGAAGAGTTTAAAAAGGATTGCTATTAATTCTTCCTTAAATATTTAGTAGAATTCATCAGTGAAGCCATCTATATGGTCCTGGACTTTTGTTTTGGAAGGTTTTCTTTTTCTCCAGCTTTATTGAGATATAATTGACACATAACATTGTGTAAGTTTAAGGTGCACAGTGTGTTGATTTGATACATTTAAAAATTGCGGATGACTACCACCATAGTATTGTCTACCACTTCCATTCCATCACATAGTTACCAATTCTTTTTTTGTGGTAAGAATATTTAAGATCTACTCTTTTAGCAACATGCAAGTATATGATACATTATTATTGGCTATAACCACCTTGCTGTAGGTCCCAGAATTTGTTCATCTTATAACTGGAAGTTTGTACCCTTTGAGTGACATCTTTTGGGGAGGTTTTTGATTACTGATTCAATTTTCTTACAAGTAATTGGTCTGTTGAGATTTTTTATTCCTTCATGTTTCAGCCTTGGGAAGTTGTATGTTTCTAGGAATGTATCCATTTATTCTACATTATCTGATTTGTTGGCATATAATTGTTCATAGTAGTTTTTTATGATCCTTAGCATTTCTGCATTATCAGTTGTAATGTCTCCTCTTTAATTTTGTATTTTATTTATGTGTCTTCTCTCTCTCTCTCTTTTTTTTTTTAGTTTAGCTAACAGTTTTTCATTTTTATCTTTTAAAAAAACCAGCCCTTAGGAAGAATTAATATAATTAAAATTTCCACATTGCCTAAAGCAATGTATAGATTCAATGCAATTCCTATCAAACTACCTAGGGCATTTTTCACAGAAATAAAAAATATAATCCTAAAATTTATATGGAACCAAGAAAGACCCCAAATAGCCATGGCAATCCTGAGAAATAAGAACAAAGTTGGGGGGATCACGCTTCCAGGCATTAGAACATACTACAAGGCCACAGTAATCAAAACAGTATGGTACTGGCATAAAAATAGGCACATAGATCAATGGAACAGAATAGAGAGCCCAGAATTAAATCCAGGCATATACAGGCAGTTAGTCTATGACAAGGGCAGCAAGAATTTACATTGGGGTAAAGATAGTCTATTTAATAAATGGTGCTGGGAAAATTGGACTGACACATGCAAAAAAATGAAACACCATATACAAGAACAAATTCAAAATGGATTAAAGACTTAAATATAAGACCTGAGACCATAAAACTCCTAGAAGAAAATATAGGGCCTAAATTTGCAGACATTACCCTGGGCAATAGTTTTACTGATACATCCCCGCAGGCTAGGGAAGTAAAAGAAAAAATAAACATATGGGACTATATCAAGCTTAAAAGTTTTTTCACAACAAAAGAAACCATCAATAAAACAAAAAGGAAGCCTACTGAATGGGAGAAGATATTTGTCAACGAGATATCTGATAAGGGNATTTTGTAACTACCAATTTGTACTTCTTAATCCCTCCCCCTTTTCACCCATCCCCACAACCCTCCTACCATCTGGCAACCATCAAAATATTCTCTGTATGAGTTTGTTTGGTTTGTTCATTGATTTTGTTTTTTAGATTCCACATATCAGTGAAATCATGTGGTATTTGTCCTTCTTTGACTTATTTCACTCAGCACAATACCCTCTAGTTTCATCCATGTTACTGCAGATGGCAAGATTTCATTCTTTGTTATGGCTAAGTAACATTCCATTACATATAGTTTCACTTCTTCTTTATCCATTCAACTATTGATGGACACCCAGGTTTCCTCCATATCTTGGCTATTGTAAATAATGTTGCAATGAACATATGGGTGTACGTGCCTTTTCAAATTAGTGTCTTGGGTTTCTTAGGGTAAATACCCAAAGGGGAATTACTAAGTCCTTCTTTGTCTCTTGTAATAGCTTTTGTTTTAAAGTCTGTTTTGTCTGGTATAAGTACTGCTACTCCAGCTTTTTTTTTCTTTTCTATTTTCATGAAATATCTTTTTCTATCTCTTTACTTTCAGTCTGTGTGTGTCTTTTGATGTGAAGTGAGTCTCTTGTAGGCAGTATATGTAAGGGACTTGTTTTGTTATCCATTCAGCCGCCCCATGTCTTTTGATTGGAGCATTTAATCCATTTACATTTAAAGTAATTGTTGATAGATGTGTGGTTATTGCCATTTTATTATTCGTATTTTTTATCCTTTTTTTAAAATCTTTTTCTTCTTAAACAAATCCCTTTAACATTTCTTATAATACTGGTTTGGTGGTGATGAAATCCTTTAGCTCTTTCTTGTATGGGAAGCTGTTTATCTGTCCTTTGATTCTAAATGATAGCTTTGCTGGGTAGAGTAGTCTTGGTTGTAGGGGAACAAGGAGTGCTCAGCCTGTTAACTCAACATTGCACTGGTCCAGTGGTAAGCAATGAGTCTCCTGAATGGATTTCGTACAAGTTAGATGTTCATCCTATGGGGTGGAGAGGCATGAAGGGGAATGCTGCAGTGGCATTTTTTCAGGGAACACTTGTCCTGAGTCCTGCCCTTATGGGGATATTCTATAAAGAAAAACATATTGCTGTTTTTTCCCCTACAATTTCCATGCAAACTGCATTTTTCTGACCTATCTTTCTTTTGGAACTTGTGATTGAAAACCCAAACTGTCACATGGAAACAAGGGCAGGAAGTAGGCTAAGAACTGATTTCATGGTATTAATCATCCTGAATGGGTTTTTTTGTTTGTTTTTAATCAGGATGTACCACTTCAGCTGCTGACGTCATTTCTGTGGTTAAAGTTGGTATGTAAGTTCAGCTTTCTTCTCTTTTTCTTCTTCCCCCAACCCCCTCCTCCACCCACCCCCCTTCTCCCATGCTCCCTCACACACCCCTTGCTTGTTTTTTCTGGCTTTGTTTGCAAAAAATCACATTTGTTGAAATTGACAGTGCCCAAGGGAATGGACACATCCAATTAGAATGGGACCAGTGCTGGGGACAAATAGTTTTCTGGGCTGCCAATCACCTTTGAAAGACATAAATGGGGGGCCAGCCAAGTGGTACATTGGTTAAGAGCTGGTTTGGGACACCAGCTCTGAGCAGCAGGGCCCCGATTCGCATCCCACATGAGGGCCAGTGACACTGCGCCCTCTACAGGTAAGATGGTGAACAACAGCTTGACCTGAAGCTGTGCTGCCATGAGTCACCAGCAATGGTGTAGGCTGCAGCCCCTGCTGCAGTGGGCTCCCGTAATCTACTGTGTGTGGCTGGCAGCCAGCGCGAGATGCCAAGAGCCGCCGTGAGCGGCTGTCCAGAAGCCAGCGACCGATCTGCCTCACCCGGGAAGAGCGCAATGATGGTGCCAACATGGGCCAGTGAAGTGACGTCCTCCACGACTAGACTGAAGAACCAAAGAACAGCAACTTGTCTGTTCCTCTTCCCTGATTCCCCAACGCTGTTCCCTCCCCCAATTCCCCAATAAAAATTATAAAAACAAGAAAGACATAGATGGAAAATATAGGAAGAAGGAGGGCAGTATACTTGGAAGTCCCTGAGGAAGCTTCAGAGCCCAAATGTATCCAGTGCCCAGCTTAAGGTTTCCCTGACTGGGAAGTGAAAGCCAGTGAGACTGTTAATAGAGAAGGGGAGATGTTATCATGAGGATAATAAGAAAAATCAGAGTTCAAAAGAACATGAGCTCAGAAAAGCAACATACATAACAATGTGCATAGTGTGATTCTCTCTGTGTAAATAAAAATGAATGCTAAAACATGCATTAATTTTTCTAAAATGATGCACAAAAGACTGTTAATAGTGGGAGTGAGTTGGGGGTATGGGTTGAATTGTAATGAATTTAAGAGGAGAAGATTGCTTTTTATATTATATATTTCTGGAATGGTTGAAGTTTATCACATACCCTTAGTACACAGTAGTACATACATTTAGAAAAAATACATACAAACGTATATATTTTTAAGGGAATGGCAAGGCAGGTGATACTGACATAAACTAGCTCCAGGTTTCAGCCATAATCATCCTTCTGTGCCCTGTGCTCTAGACGTGGAATAACCCATTCATCAGCTGGGACCCAGAAGAATGTGGTCATATCAGAAAATTCATTGTGACAACCAAGAACCTGTGGCTCCCAGACATCGTCATCGTGGAATCGTGGGTATCAGGGCTGGGAAAGCTGGAGGGAAGGCCCTTCTGCAAGGAGCAAGCCAGGGCACTGCAGGGCAAACCCATTCCGTGGGGCCACTGAAAGCTTACATCAGAGAGGAGCACAATCACAGTTCATCAGCTTCTCCCCTAGAAATGGGCAAGTGGTGGGCACAAAAGATGGCAGAGTAGCCTTAATGAGCAACATGGAGAAGCCCCACCGTGAGAGAGAAACGTAAACTGATGTGAACCCCAGAGCATTTGCTTCCCTCCCTTCCTGACACCTAGCACGGATGTGGATGAGACCCCAGAAGGCCTCTCTGCATATGTGAAAAGTGACGGTCACACTATATATCGCAAACCAATGCGGGTGACCAGCATCTGCAGCCTGAATATCTTCTACTTCCCCTTTGACCAGCAGAACTGCACGCTCACCTTTAGCTCATTCCTCTATACAGGTGAGTGGCAGTGGGGGTTCTGGGATGTGGTAAAATAAGATCCACCAGTGAGGCAGCAAAAAAGAACACATAGGCCAAGTCATTTTTTTAAATGCATGAAAAGGGACAGTGGGGTATTTGCTCACTGGAGGTGTGTAAATGGTGGGATGGGGGACTTAGGCAGGGACAAGACTTCCTGAGAAAGCCCAGAATTGAAAGGAGGCAATTGAGCAGTAAGGAAGTAATGGTATAGGGCAATCTGAAAAAAGTAGGTGAAGCAGTTTTCCAATTCATCTCTCTGAGCCCTGCATAGAGAGAGCAGGTGCTGAACAGATATGTGTTGAAGGAATGTTTATTTCCCCTGCAGTGGAAAGCATAGTGCTGGGCATGGAAAAGGACGTGTGGGAGATAGCAGACACTTCGCGTGACATCGTCCGCATGCAAGGGGAGTGGGAGCTCTTGGGCATCAACATGGCCACCCGGAAGATGTCTGTGGGCTCCAGTCTGTTTGACCAGATTATGTTCTATGTAAGCCCAGAGACCCTAGTATGGCTGTCCACCCCCTAGGTCTCCATCGTGGGACCCTTCTAAGTCCCAGAGCCTCTCATTTCTTGTCCCAAGACCAGAAAGCCCCTGGGCACCATAATTCTCACAAGCCTGCCTCTCTCCTGAGTCCCCCCAAAAGCAGCCCCCCCCGCTTTCTGAACCTACCAGCTATGACCTAGGTTTTCTTGGGTGGATATGGGGGAGTCTTGCTAGTCATATTAAAGCTGCTCCTCCAGCTCCAGAAAAAAACCCTACTAGGGAGGAAGGGGCTGGAACCATCCTTAAGTCTCCCTTCAGTCCCAGCTTCACCTGGCTGTCTGCTCGCTCCTCCCCACCAGGTGGCCATCAGGCGCAGGCCCAGCCTCTATGTCATAAACCTTCTGGTGCCCAGTAGCTTTCTGGTTGCCATTGACGCCCTCAGCTTCTACCTGCCTGCAGAAAGCCAGATTCGTGCCCCATTCAAGATAACCCTTCTGCTGGGCTACAATGTCTTCCTGCTCATGATGAATAAACTACTCCCTGTCAGCGGCACCGCCCTCATTAGTATGTACCCCTCCCCTAACTGTTGGAAAATGAAAAAAAAGGAGGCAGGGTTGGCAGGTGGCCTGGATACTTGCTGAGCAGATAAGGCAAAAAGGAGAAAGAAGTCATCAGGCAAAGGGCTCTCTGTGTGAGACAGAGAAAAGTGTGTGTGTGTGTGTGGGGGGGAATGGCGGGAAGGAGGAGGTGTTGGTGGTTTTTCCAGACCTGCCTCACTCAGGTGTGCTCCTTATCTCCACCCCAGGTGTCTACTTTGCCCTGTGCCTGTCGCTGATGGTGCTCAGCCTGCTGGAGACCATCTTCATCACCTACCTGCTGCACCTGGCCACCACCCAGCCCCCANATCCCCATGATGGTGCTAGTTGTGGAGACAGAGATCTGTTAGTCAGGTTTATGTCGTGAAAAAGGGGCTTAACTTCTCAATCAAGCTTCTTAACTCAGTAATCCCTAATGTCCACAGTTGGATAAAGGTTACATTTCTAGGTCTGCAACAAAATAATTACTACATGCTCTTGCCTTGAGAAATTAGCAGATGTCTCCACATAACCATCCCTTTCCCAGCGGTCCATGTACTTTCTCTGAGGCACTGTGACTTTCAGAAAGACCTGATGAGGCCTTTATCAATGGCTTCACCTGCCTCATCTCCCAAGTCACCCATTTTCCCTGAAAAATACTTGGGACTCAGATTTAAAACCACTCACCCAGACCAGGCTGCTAAACAGGCGCTTCTCCCCTAGTCTTGGCCTAACTTCCTCCCTGTCTGGAGCCCAGAAGGCATACCTGGACAGGGCAAAGCAGGACGCTCTACTGTGACCTCTCTGGCCACAGCTTTTCACCAGGGAGTGGTCACCTCACGTATCATAAGCAGTATTCAAAACCAGGAGCCAAGGTGTGGTCTGAGCTCCTTTAAGCTCAAGGCTTTGGGGGCTCCTGGTCAGTCCCCAGAGAAAAATCCAGAAGAAAAGGATGAAAGGGGGTTGGCCCTATGTGGGGAGACTGCTCTTTTGCCTCACTGTCAGCCTTCTGCCTCAAGGTAAGATGGGAAAGATGGGAATACTGTTCTGGGAAAAATCCAGAAACCCTCTCATTCTCCAGAATTAGAGTGCATCTAAAATAGCTGGGTTAAACATTTCCTTTTTCTGTAGTATCTGTGTTTTGGTTTCCTTTGAGGACAGGTGAAAGACCCATTTCACTGAGCAATACACACAGCCCCTCTCATTTGCCTCTACTAAATTTTACCACCTGTTCCACCATTTTACCACCTCTCCAATTCCACCCCTTTATAATGTCCAACTTTTCCTTTCCACCAAGGTATAGTAACTCGAACTGGGTAGCTTGGTTCTGTTGACAATCACATACCTCTTTCCCCACCTTACATGGGAAGATCTTATAAAAGAGGTGATTTAGCGGGAAAAGGATAATAGTTGCTTCCCCTGGATACTTTTCTCCTTTGTTTGGAAATGTACCTTATGAGTTAAGTGGTATACGGAGATAGAGGCATGAGAAAGAACTTGCTGAGCTATAGTTGCAGGAATAACCACAGAACCATCTGGAGTTAGGATGTGGGTAAGTTGGGCAGAAGGGCTTTTATGTTTTATTGTGTAGCTTCACCAACCACATGGTGGATGATCAATGAGTTCTCAAGGTGGTAATGATGAAAATGGCTCCCCCAGATCTTAGAAGAAGTTACTAAATTTGAGAAGAGCACAGCACACAGGTAGAGTCAGTCAATTCACATTAAACACAACTTCCTTAAGTCTCCATATATTTTACATCACACTCATGTTTACTTCTCTCCAAACTTTTCCTTTCAGGAAATGAGAAAAGATGAAAGTGGAAAGAGAAAATTAAGAAGTAAAATCTTAGGTAAATTTTGGTCAGTGACTATGAGGAAGAATCATAATAGAGCTAGAGAGAGAAAAAAAATATCATCAAACAGGAGCCAAGACTTTAAGTGCATCTAAAGGTTTCAATTATAGAAGGAGTAGGACTCCCTAGGACGGCTGTTTGCATACAAATTTGGATAGGCTTTATATGGGAGCAAAAGCACAGGAAGAAATGTCTGAGCCCTGAGCCCTGAAAGGTCAGCTCACCACATCAATTTCCACCATTTGCCTACCAGACCAGCCCATCCTCCCAGCCCTGGCAGGAAAAGATTGGCCTTCGAGAGCCTTGGCCCAAGAAGGAGGGGCTCGCATGCCTCTCACCCCATGTCCACATTTTCTTTCTCTGCAGAGATGCTCTCAGCTCCAAGTGCTGGCACTTCTCTCACTTGAGAAACACAAAAGCCCTATTCCCATCTCACAAGGTCTCTGCTTTCCACAGGAAGGGCAAACACTTTCACCATCAACTGCTCAGGCTTTGAGCAGCATGGTGTGGACCCTGCTGTCCTCCAAGCAGTGTTTGACAGAAAGGCCTTCCGTCCAGTCGTCAACTACAGCATTCCCACTCAGGTCAACATCTCCTTCACCCTGTCTGCCATCCTGGAAGTGGTGAGTTCTGACTCCTACATTTTCATAGGCTGCTAATAGGGAACAAGGAGTCTTTTTTCTTTTTTAATAATATTTTATTTTTCAATTACAGTTGACATACAAATATTATATTAGTTTCNTTACAACAATATGGATGGAACTAGAGAACATTATGCTAAGTGAAATAAGTCAGTCAGAGAAAGACAAATACCATATGATCTCACTTATACGTGGATTCTAAAAAACTGAATAAATGAGAAATGTAAACAGAAATAGTCTCAGGCACACAGAGGAAAAACTGAGCATTGCTAGTTGGGAGGCGGTGGGGATGAAGGAGAAGGGGAAGGGATGAGACAATACAAACTGGTAATTACAATATGGCCTCAGGGATAGAAAATACAGTTTGGGGAATATAATCAATAATGTTGTAAATATTTTTTAGGGGGCCAGATGGACTCATGTCTTGTTAGGGAGACCACTGCATAGTCGTTGTAGAGGCCTGACCATTACATTGTATATCTGAAGCTGATGTTGAATAATATTGTATGTCAACTACAATTATATATACATATAGTCACGGGACGTGGAGTAGAGAGTGGGAATGGAGTCAATGGAATTGTAATAGATAAGCATGATATCGGGGGTGGGAGAGCAATACATGCGGGGAGGGGGGTTGTTACTTTGTGAGGGTGAAAAGGATAACTAGTGCATTGTTCTATACACCTGAAACTAACAATAAAATTTAAAAAAAAAACAGCCCTAAGTTTCATTGATCTTTTCTATTGTCTTTTTAGTTCCTATTTTATTTATATCTGTTCTAATCTTTGTTATAGCCTTCCTTCTACTAACTTTAGACTTAGTTTTTTTTCTAGTTCTTTTTCTAGTCCCTTGAGTTGCAATATTAGGTTGTTTATTTGAGATCTTTATTTTTTCTTAATGTAGGTGCTTATCACTATAAACTTCCTTCTTAGAACTGTTTTTGCTGCATCCAACAAGTTTTGGTATATTATTTGGTAAATATTTGGTATATGTTTTCAATTTAATTTGTCTCAAGGTTTTTTTTTTATTTCTCTTCTGATTTTTTTCTTTGACCCATTGATTATTCAGGAGCATGTTGTATAATCTCCACACATTTGTGAATTTTCCAGTTTTCCTCTTTTTATTTAGCTGAGCCATCCTGCTACCTATTGGTAACTTAGTGGCAGCTCAGCTTGGACCGGGCATCGAACAGCTGTTGCTCAGAGCTCAAACTCTTGAGCGAGCTCTTAACCAACTGAGCCACTCGGCTGGCCCTTCCAGTTTTCTTCTTGTAATTGATTTCTAGTTTCATGTGATTGTGGTCAGAAAAGGTGTTTGATATGATTTTAATCTTCTTATATTCATTAAGACTTCTTTTGTGGCCTCACATATGATCATTCTTGGAGAATATGTCATGTGTTGCCCTTGAGCACTTGAGAATGTATTCTTCTACTGTTGGATGGGATGTTGTGTACAAGATCTGACAGTTAAGTTTGTGAACTCATCCAAAAAAAAATGCTACATATTTCATTGCTGAATATCATTACAGTCACCTTCAAAGTACTCCCCTTGGGAAGCTATGCACCGACACCAGCACTTAGTCCACCCTTCAGAGCAATTTTGGAACTCCTTTTCTGGAATAGCCATCAGAGCTGTCATTGTATTACCCTTGATGTCCTGAATGTCATCAAAATGTCTTCCTTTCAATATTTTGTTTATCTTCGGGTAAAGAAATAAGTCATTGGGGGCCAGATCAGTTGAATAGGGAGGGTGTTCCTATACAGTTATTTATGTACTGGCTAAAAACTCCCTCACAGACAGTGCCGTGTGAGCTGGTGCATTGTTGTGATGCAAGAGCCATGAATTGTTGGTGAAAAGTTCATGTTGTCTAATTTTTTCATGCAGCCTTTTCAGCACTTTCAAATAGTAAACTTGGTGAACTGTTTGTCCAGTTGGTACAAATTCGTAATGAATAATCCCTCTGATATCAAAAAAGGTTAGCAACATCATTGCATCAAGTTCACCAACTTAATTGTCAGACCTCATATATGTCTGTTAGATCTATCTGGTCTAATATGCAATTTAAGTCCAAGGTTTCCTTTTTATTTCCTGTCTAGATGATCTATCAATTGTTGAAAATGAAGTATTTCAGTCCCCTACTATTATTGTATGGATTTCTATTTTTCTTTTCAGATCTGTTAATATTTGCTTTATATATTTAGGTGCTCCAATGCTGGGTGCATAAATATTTATAATTGTTCTACCCTCTTGATGAATTGACTCCTTAATCACTATATTATGGCCTTCTTTGTCTCTCATTACAGTGTTTGGCTTAAAGTCTATTTTGTCTGATCTAGCTACCTCTGCTTTCTCTTGGCTTCCATTTGCATGAAATATCTTTTCCACCACTTTACTTTCAGTTTATGTGTGTTCTTAAAGCTGAAGTGAATCTCTTGTAGGCAGCATATAGTTGGGTCTTATTTTTTTATTCACTCAACTATTTTATGTCTTTTGATTGGACAACTTATCTCATTTACACTTAAATAAAAACTAAAATAAATTTAAAATAAAGTAATTGTTGGTAGGTATGAACTTACTATTGCGGTTTTGTTAATTATTTCTGGATGTTTTGTAGTTCTTTTCTTCCTCTACTGTCCTCTTCCTTTGTGATTTGATAATTTTCTGTAGTAGTGTGCCTTGATTCCTTTCTCTTTATCTGTTGTGTATCTAGTATAGGTTTTTCCATGAGGACTACACAAAACATCTTAGGATTATAACACTCTGTTTTAAGCTGATAACAACTTAAGTTCAAACCTATACAAAAGCTCTACATTTTATACTTCCTTCCCCCACATTTTATGTCTTTGATGGCACAATTTTCATCCATTTATATTGTGTATCCATTAACAAATTATTGTAGTTATAGTTACTGTTAATTATTTTGTCTTTTAATCTTTATATTAGAGCTATACGTGGTTTACCCACCACTATTACAACATTAGAGTACTCTGAATTGAATGATATATTTACCTTTACCAGTGAGTTTTATACTTTCATATGTTTTCATGTTAGTAATTATTATCCTTATGTTTCAGCATGAAGAACTACCTTTAACATTTCTTATAAGGTTGGGCTGGTAGTGTTGAATTTTTTCAACTTTTGTTTGTCTGGAAATTTATTTATTCTTCAATTCTGAAGGAAAACTTTGTCAGGTAGAGTACTCTTGGTTGGCAGCTTTGTTTTCTTTCAGCTTATGTATCATCCCACTCTTTTATGACCTTCAGAGTCTCTGCTGAAAAATCTGCTCATAGATACAAACCTCATTGGCTTTTATAGCTAGATGTTTTGGAGCTTAACCCTCAAGTGGGACTTGAAAAGGTGAGATGTTAGGTGTGCGGCCCAAACCCTTCACTCCTCAGGAAAGCGTTCACTCTAGAGGTGAGGGTTTCCTCTCAATTATATGGTGTTGTGCTAGGGGTGGGGTTTGTGGCCAGAATATGTCTCCATCTTTCCATGGGGGTATTTTCTCATTTGCCTGATGTGTAGGAGTCACTCAGTTAGTTTCTGGATTTCTCCCAGAGGATATCGTTCTATGTATACCTGTGCGAGGAGGGATGTTTAGGAGACTCCCATGTCACCATCTTGGTTGCTCCTCTAAATTTGTATGTTATTAATTTTAAAAAGGATTATTTAACTTACAAGAAAGCACAAAGGTGTTTGGTTTTTTGTGGTTTGGTTTTGTTTTGTTTTAAAGATTTTATTGGGGACTTGGGGAAGGGGAACAGTGTTGGGGAATCAGGGAAGAGGAACAGCCAAGTTGTTGTCCTTCAATCTTAGTTGTGGAGGGCCCAGCTAGCTCAGCTCCAAGTCCAGTCACCATCCTGCTGCCTGTTGGCAGCTCGCAGCCACTCAACTCAAGGTGCTGTGTTCAATCTTTAGTTGCGGGGGTGGATGGGCACAGCCCCCCATCCCATGCAGGAG